TAGATTATTACTATTTACAAACAAGTTCTTAAATTTATTTTTCTTAAAACAAAGAACTGTAAATGAAGAAGTAAAGCAAACAATTCTCTCTTCTAGTTACGACCTTTGTACTCAGTTGCTGCTTGTATATACACATACACACAGAGTTGAATTACCAAAAAATCATATATTACTATATCAATACCATAGTTACTAGATAGATAAATTATAGTGGAATTCTAAGCTGTATTTCAGTTAAAAAAAATATGTAATTTGAGCAGGCTAAAGATAACCTACCTGATTGAAATCTTGGTTCAAAAGAAACAGATGGCACCCAAAAACGTTAAAATGGCTGAAAAAGCCACTAGGGGGACATTCTGAGCTTCCGATTAGTTATTCATGTCATATATATAGAAATAATTGTATAAAAGGGAGCATTTCCAAAAAGGGAAAGATGTGGGCCATTGTGTTTGATTTGTTACATGAGCAATATCTTAGCAAATTGAAAAGATTTTAGGCTCTTATTTCATATTCTAGCTTGTCAATATCAATAATTTGAGTTTCTAATTCATACGAAACTATAGACTATTTTGACATCATAAACATCTAATTTGAACCAGTGCTGCATTCAACATACCACGCGACACACACACAGAAATTTATGTTGAACTGTTTTTGTTTTTATATTACTTTTAAATTAAGAAATTGAGTAAGGTATAATACTAAAATTTAAATTATAATGTACAGTTTAATACCAAACTCATTGACACAAGTTCATGAAATAGTAGTTCAATAAAATTTTGAAAGAGTCAACAAACATGGCCTTACACCTGTGACCTGTCAGGAAAGGGTTAACTACATATACAGGGCAAGAGAAAAATTATTATACAGTTGGTTACTGAAGTAAATATTACAAAGACAACTGAAACCAATAATCTCAGTAGACTAGTGAAATTTACTTAAAATTAGGAACAGTTACAAGGGTTATTTATTTTTGTACATTTCAAATACAATATTTCTTTTATACAATTGACTTATCTGAAGTACATATGAAATCTTTGTAACATACATGTGCTTTCATCAGCAGCCAGGATCCCTTTACCAGGAGCAACTATAGCCTCAGCCGTTTGTCGCAGCTTAGCCTGTTCTTCTTCACTCAGGTAGTTGAAGTGTGCCATGATTATTCTGAAATAATCATAATCAAATATATTAAACATAACAGGAATTGCACTAACAGTTTCCTACAGAATATCTCGTCTCTTCATTTCTAAAAAGTAGATAAATGATGTTTTAGACTCTGTACTGAGTTTCTCTTCATTTACACCAGAATGGAAAGTCTTAACATACAGTTTTAAACATCTTTCACATGGTTCTCTTACCTTGGGTAGAATTTAATTCATCTACTTTTCCCTGACCAAAATGTGTTATTCACTGACCATTTGATGTATGCTTGTAATGCATCAGTGAACTATAACCTACAATAATATGTGAAATTGTAAAACATTCATATTACACCACTACAGAATTAAGTTTTTCATTTTGTTCTTACATAATGTTGCCCATCACATTAAATAAAAACTGCTACTAGTACCAAGTGAAAAACTTTTAATGGATAGAAGTACGCTACTTTTTATTCTGGTATGGTCTTTCAATGTAAACACAATGTCAAATACTAAAAAACTGTCCATACTTAACCACACTAGCACTACACAATTAATATTTCCATCTCCAGACTATATCGTGTTCCAAGAGACCATAGTACTATCCAATTCTGTCATGCTGAACATACTCAATTTTACCTTCAGTCTATTCTTTCCTGTCCCTAGCATCTTGTTTGTTACATGAGAAACAAACTTTTCCTAACACATTTCACAGACATCCAATGCATAACATATAGTTTGTAAACATAATGTATTCAGTTATTCACTGGCCAGACAAAGGTTCTACGAGGCCTGGAGCTGAAGACTTCCAGTGTTCATAATACAAGCAGATAAAGTGGCCTTTCAGGTTTTAGATCTACCAAGCTATCATCAAATTAATATTATTTCAGGAAATGGCAATAATTATTAATGACAACTAACCTGATAAGTTTTTACAGAAGACAAATTTTAGAAATCAAGTTCAAATTTTCATTACAGTCGGGTTCAGATATAGAATATTTTGAACGGTGGAGTTAAGCCTTTAAAAAGGGGGCAAACATACAAGAACAATAATATATTTGTGATTTTAAAATGTTTTATTTGTGATTAAAACAATCTGAAATGGATGCAAGTGTTTCAGAGGAAATTTGCTGGTCTGATCAATAGTAAAGGTTGAAAACATAGATTTTTCTAATATACACGTTTTAAATTTCCACTTATGATCCTATTAAATGCTTTAATTTTTTAGGGTTGTGCTTGGCAATTTTTACGTACAAGCTGCTGATAAGTCTTCGAAGTAACATAATTATTATGTATTAAGGCAATCATTAATTAAATGTCAAATTTAGTGTAAATAAGCCACATGTGCAAAGTTATTTAACAAAAACTGCTCAAATTTGACAAAAATGCCTGCACATGCCCACACAAAAAGTCACGAAAGTTACTGGTCTAAAATATTTACTACAGCTTCACCTAAGAGCAAAAGTGTACAGTTTTTAGTTTCTTTGTCATTTAGATTAACGATGACTGATTTCGAGCAGCAAAACTATAGGATGAGAGAACATGCAGATACACAAGTATTGGTTGGACCAAATAAACTAGATTAGCAGTTTCTAGCTCAAAATTTTCAAAAGAATCATATGGGTGGGCAGTTATTATTCATTGCCAATTTTTTTTAAGCACAAGTTAGCTGCATTTCATGAAGTTTTTCTAATTAAGGAGCTTATAACATCACGTGATATGAATTTAAGCAATTAGCATAAATAATGATGCTTGTCACATCTGTACCGAGTGCATGTTGGCGATAAACTGTTAATCTAGTTTCCATGGTGTTATTATAAAGGAAGTTAACACTTTTTTTTGAGAGAAAACTACCACCATATATTTTAAAGAATCTAGTTAGTTCTGTAAAGTGTAGGTTTGTTCTGAATAACAAGGTTGCAATCCAAAAGCTAATGTTGGTTACTATAGTGTCTCTCTTTCTTACTTGCTGTAGTTTGCTGATGTGTTGACAAAAGGTTATGATATCTAATCAAAAAAATACCAAAAAAGCACTGTGCATGCAACTTAAAGGAATGAAATCAAAATTGGCAACCAAACTGGTAAGCTACAGTCATAGCATTTGTAAGAATTTTACAGCCAATATTCATTCATTAGTTAGCTAGGCTGCATATTTTGATTTACCCACCAGCATATTCAAGTTGAACAAAAAACGTGGCCTGGCTAACTAATGAATAAATATTTCCTGTAAAATTCTTATCAATGCTATAAGTTTGTCTGCAAAATTTGATTTCATTCCTTTAAGTTTCATGCTGAATATTTTTTTCGCTGCACCTCCAAAAATAGAAAGAGGTGGGGGGGGGGCAACGTTTGATTCAGTAAATACAGCAATATCTCAACAAATAGAAAAGATAGGAGGTTCTTATTTGATATTCTAGCTTGTCAATATCTGTAATTTGAGTTCCTAATTGGTAAGAAACTATAGACTATATTTGGACATCGCAAACACCTAATTTGAACTAATGCTGCATTCAACATATCATATGACACAAAAATCGATATTCTGGTGTTTTTTTTTTATATCTAATTTTAAATTAAGAAATTCAATAGTGTATAATATTAAAATTTCAATTATAATATAAAATTTGATCCAGAATTTAACAAATTCATAATATAGTAGTTAAAACTTTGAATGCGAGTCATCAAACGCGATAATACGGCATTTAACCCGTGTGGATAGGGTTAAAGGCTTTCTTGTTTTAATATGTTGAGTGGCACATTTCTCATAAGTCATAACTGAGACTAACAATAACATGTTGAGTTGTTTTCCGACAAGTTTTCTAGCCTAATTCCATTGTAACACGGTCTACATCTACGAAGATCGTGAGCTCGAAACGTCGCATTAATAAACTGAAAAACGTTTACATTCAGACGTGTCAATTCATTGTTTATTCAAGTTTTTCGTATCACGTCTTGCTGAGTAACACTCATTCAAGACCCTAAATCAACAACCACTCTACCGCGTTAACGTGAAGAAGGGTATATCGCGAGAGTTGATACCTTGGTCACATTATCTAATGCGTTTATACGTGAATCAGTGCAACTTGGGGTTTGGCTGTATTTTTGTTTTATAAGAAATTAAAACGAAACTACTATTAAATGAGTTGATGTAATTATTAGTTATTTTTAATGACCCATTGAACAAGTTTAAGTAAAGATAGGAAATATAAATAATTTACTAAAACTGTAAATGCCTTATCTAAACTGCCAGGCTTTGGCGAAATATACTAAGGGTATCAGATGTTCATTCTAATAATTTCTATGACTATTGACACAGATAATGCTTTATCAATATACCAACACTTGCAAGATCAAAATAACTTATTTAATGGAATAAACCTATCTATCAATAGTAATTTGTTAACAGCTCTTACGCTGCAGTAGGACTATCCTTCATGACGAAGCCTTGTCCAGAGCCCTTACACACTGTTAGTTAGCTACTGTTTATGACTTCCTTCATACCCCGTTATAGTTAAGGATAAACCAAAAGGCAGATGTAGATAGAATCATGTTTATGCATAAAATACGCATACCGACGCACTAAATATGCCACAATTAACTTGTACACGCATTTTTCGCCACCAACTTTTCCCATTTTTTTTTCGTTTAT